AGTGTTTTAAATAAACTTGTGTTCAAAAATGTTTTAAATAAACATGACAAAATGGTCACATTTGTCAATTCTGGATGACAATTTCATGAGTATTAGTTGCATTATTCATTCTTTTCTTTTAAAAACTTTTTTATTGCAGTACAATGTGATTTTTTAAAAAGTGCATTTTTTTTCTAGGTGAATGGATAGATAAATTTCTACTAGTTAATATATGTGTATTTGTGGGGGAAAATGTTTATGGTAGATATAAAGAAGTAGAATTGGCTTGTAGCTTATGTGTGTTTTAAGATACATTACTAAATTGTACTTAAAAGTGTCTGTACCAGTTTTTTATCCCACCAGCATTATATGAGAATATCTATTTGCCTACGAGTAAGACAAAACTTTTTATTAAGTAGCTTTTTTTTGCCAGTTGAATAGATGAACTATCAGTGTCCCATTGCATTGCTCTTAGTTCTCTTAGTAGAAGCAATTTTTTATTCAGTTATTGGCTATTTGAGTGTCATCTCATGTGAATTGCCTGTTTATTTACTCCCCTGTTTTTTAACAGATTGTTAATCTTTTTCTTTCCCATATTTTAGAGTTATCTGTAGCTTCATTTTACTATTATCCTACTTAACATAATAATGTTGGTTAGGAGGTCAGTCTGTAGTATTAAGTAGTAAGCACTTGTTCCAGCATTTGTTTGTATAAAAATAATCTTACAGGGTTTTCCCTATTATAATAGTGATTGTATGTTTATTCAAAAAAAAAAAAAAAACTTTAGGAAATCGAGATACTCCAGAAGGAGAAAATGAAAATTACTTTTAATGTCATCACCCAGATACAGTACCATTAATATCGTAGTGTGTATCCCTCTAATCTTTTTTCCCCCTGCATACCATTTATTAAATTTCTTTCCCTTTTTTACCTCTGCACACCATTTATTAGATTTCTTTTCCCATGAATTTTTGACTTTATTTTTAACATGTGCTGATTTTTTGAAATGGGAGAATCTGTTTTTGAGCTGTTCTTACCACGGTTTTTATTCGTCTGTGTGGTGATGTGCCTGTTTCATTTAAATTGATGAAGCTTTATGATACACTGTGCTCTCTGCAGAGCCAGCCCTCCTCCACCCGTCGGTGCTTTCCTGGAGGCCCCATCAGGTAGCCTGATGGCACTTGTGTGTCGTTCTGAGTTGTGAACTGTGACTACAGACTCTGCTAAATTTAAAATGCATTAGAAATTTGAACAGAAAAGGACTCAGCATAAAACAACTTTTTGTTTTGGAGTCATTTTTCCTGTAACAAATGAGATCAGATCTACAAATGTCTGCTGTAGATTCTGGAGAAAGATCCTGAAGTTATTAGTGAGCAACTCTGGGAAATGGAAATTGATTGCCCTTTTCCCATTTTTAATTTAATGTGTGTAAAATGCTCTTAATAGCTTTTCTTGATTCTTCTGTTCTTCCTTCCTTTCAGGAGCCTTTCATAGGTTCACTCAAGAGTTCTAACCCCTAATTCTTTTTTTCTCGTAAGGCCTTAGATTCCTCACTCCCCCCACCCCCAATCTCCATCCAAGGGCTTTTAGGATCCTGACTCTAGATGTTGAAGAGTGAACTACTGCATGGGAGACGAGGGCAAATTTCCTAAAATTCCCACCTGTAGCTCTGAAAATGAGGAAATAAGGCATATCAATATTGCAAGTGGGGGTGCCTGGGTGGCTCAGTCAGTTGGGCGTCTGACTCTTATTTCAGCTCAGGTCATGATCTCAGAATCCTAAGATTGAGTCCAGTGGCAGGCTCTATGCCCAGTAGGGAGTCTGCTTGCAGATTCTTTCTCTGCCTCTCCCTCTGTGCACCCCCCACCCCCCATGAGCCCATGCACATGCACACATACATACTTTCTCTCTCTCTATATATAAAATAATAAATAAATATTTTTAAAAATACTGCAAGTGATCTTCCACAACCCTGAGGTCATTGTCTTCAGTCCAGTCCTTTTGCATCTCTTCCTATTGGTCAGTGGGGCACTGGGACTCTCTTGCCCTGACTCACCAGAGTGGACCATTAACTTTCCAGAAATTTTGCAAGCTGGTTGTTAAATAGTCATTATTAAAAATTAAATTACAGAAACTTATAATTTATTATATTAAAACACCAAAGATAATCCTCAAAAATCACCACTTCTTTATTATTCTACTGCATTTTACTATTATTTATGCTGTTGAGATTGTTTGTGCCTATTGCATCTGTAGGTAGAAATGCTACCTACTCATGTCCTGCTGTGCATCTTTGCTCAACTCTGTTCAGTGGCTTCTCTTGGTAGCTTTAAATTGGTTATGATGTCAGTATTTACACCACTAACATTGGAAAACACTACACATAACAGGGTTTGATTTGTTGTCTTGTTGAGTGTGCTGGAGAAAATGTTAATAATGCAGGCTAAGCTAAATTTAAAAGTGTATCATTTCAATAGCCTTAACATTCTGAATAGTCCTCCAAGTTAAGTAAATATTCCTCTAGTATTTGAAAAAGATTATTTGGTTCAGCAAAGAATTTCCTTACTCATTGACTAGCAAATGGCATTCCCACAAAAATCTTTGTTAATTTTCCTCTTACTCCTAATGTAAATAAAAATACCAGCCAACATTCACACCAGGAACTATACTCACTCATCAGTCACAATACTGGGTTAGCTTTGGACATAAGAATTTGCCAAAAATCACCTACAGCATTCTTTGGGAATTAATTACATACATACAGTTTATAATAAAGAATACAGTATATTTCATTATCATTTTGTAAACTGTGTGATATACATCAGCAAAATTTGTAATAAATTTATGTACATATGTATCCAGGTACTTTTTTTTTTTTTTTTTGAGAGCTGGTGGTGAAACTTTTACTAGCACACTACTGATCAGAGGTGACTAATGTCCAGCCCCAAGCTTAAGGGGACCACTGACATACAGTGTTCCTGAAGTCAACAAACAAACAAAGAGGCAAAATAGTGTGCCAACATTTACAAATTGTGAGATTTCACACAAAAACCTGAAATTCCTAATTTTTCTGAAGGATGGAATCTGGCCCCATTGTATCCTCCCACAGAGACATTCAGCTAGAACTGAGCTGCTGTGGACCTTTCAGGTGGGGTATATACTCTCAGTTTGCCACTCTTCCCACTGCCTCCTGCTGCCCCCCACCCCAGCCCTCACCCTCCACTGAGCACTGAGTGCCATTTTCCCCCATGTATGTTCTGTGGATTTTTCTCTGTTCCTTATTTATCCTCTGTCAGTGCAACCTGAACCACTTTTTCAGGCCAGAAATAAATCAGGCAAGCTTGATTTATTACTAAATTAACTTTCCTTGTCTATTGATTTAAGTCCCATTGTTCTATAATTATTTCTTACAAGAATCACTTACAACATCTGTGAAAGGGCTTTGAAACTATTCAAAGCCACCAAATGGAAGATAATGCATCTTAAGGTACTCATAATTTCTAAATCATTTAATTTTGTACTTTATTAATAAAAATCCATTAAAATTCAGTTTTTTGTATTTTCAGTAACTAATGAAAGTAAATATATTTATTTTTTGTCCTTTCGCTTATATTCTTCTTGCTTTCCTTTTTCCAAATCCTTTTTTTTTTCCCCTTGTCTTTTTCTCTCACTTTAAACTTACCTCTCAAATACAATATCAGTAATGAGGTCATTGCATTATTCTATTAAAAGTCATACTTTGGTCTTAATTTTAGCCTGATTTAAACACTGACATTATGGACTCATGCTAATTAGCCTGAATGGCCAAATCCCCCACCAATTAAGCAAATGTCGATATTTCAGGTTATTTCAGTCACCCTATGTTAAGGGTAAGAGAAAAATGTGTTGATTGTGATCTGAAATCATCAACCCCAAGACATCCTGTTATTTTATAATAAAATTCTTTCTTACCATTATGACATTATAAATGCAATTATGTTTCTAGTTCCTTGCACTCTAAGTTTGGTCATTTGTATCATAATTGCCATGGATTCTTTACATTGTATCTCAGTGGTAAATTGAGTCTGTGAAGACAATTTTTCTTGGTACACTGAGATCAGTTTCCTTTTTATTTTTTTTTTTAATATGTTGCCTTGGTTCCTTTTGTTGTAATACCTCAGACTACTTTGTGTCAATCATGTCATATAACGTGTCTTAACTTTACAGTTAACATCTGAATGGACTGAGCCATAAAAGTTCTTTGGTTAATTTTCTTTTAGTCATATGAGCATCTTTTCCCATAAGAATAACATTATAAATGATTATTAGATTCCCAGGCTAGCCCCTGGTGGTGTTAAATGCAGTTCTAATGGTATTAATCCAAATTCTTATTTCTGGAGCAGGAGGAGGAAGGGGAGGGAGAGGATGAGGAAAGTGGGAGAAGAAAGGTGAAGTGGTATGGTGGGGACAAAGAAGTAGTCAAAGAAAAGAATGAAAGAAAAGGGATATTAGAGAGAAACTCCCTGCGTTTACGCCTTGCTCTAAGCAAAATTTTGAGATATATGTCATTGATTTTTGTGTCCTCTGGTTTTCATTTCTGTATCACATTCCTCTAAGCTTAACGCTCTCATTTGGTCCTAAGGTCCCACCCCAACCTGACCTGTTCCACTCTTAAAACTCCCCTTTCTCAGCACATACATGCTTGGCAAGTATCGGTCTAAGAGATGTTTGGAAAATATGTTGGAAAATATGAGTCTAGGAGAACCTAATCATTGTGTGGAACTCACAGTCCCAAAGCCTCTGAAATCTATCCTTCCCTTCTTAGGGGAATTCCAGTCACGTAACAAAATGAAGCAGAATAAAGGAAGGCAGTGTTTTGAAGGAAGATGTCTTCCTTGGTGGTCATCCCCGGTGCTCAGTTCCACGAAGCAGTCCTTGGTATTGTCCTTGTATTGCTTTCTCCATATCTGATCTGACATTTCCCCACAGAACCCCAGGAGCACAGACCCAGCTGCTCTCAAGACCTTCTGGACACAGATCATTTTGTTTGGTTGGTTGGTTTTGGGTTTTTTGAGTTTTTGTTCCTTTTTTGTTTTTTGAAATCACTCCCATGGTTGAGCAAAGAGTAGAGCAGGGAGGGCTGGTGTATGTGTGGCTCTGTGGTGAATGGGGGCTGGGCAGACAGGTGAAGTTGTAGGTAAGGATGCCCATGGCCTTGTTCCCAGCTTCCTTGTAACAGCTTCCAGCTTGCCAAAGTTCCTGATGGTTGGCCTCTGTTACAACGTTAGTAAATGAACGTGATGACATAGCTTTCATTGCTTAAAATTGGGAAGGTTTCAAAGTAAGAAAAGTAAGGAAAATTGTTGGCAAGGCTGGCAACGTTTTCAATACTGTATGCTTTTAATGATGATTTCCTGTTGAAAAGCGCCAGATCTAAGAAGGAGATGTACATACATGTTTGCCAACCTCTGGGGAACCACACGGGCTGCTCTCTGGGTTCCCTTTCCCCACCGTTGAGCATGAGCAAGCTCTGCTCTGGTGATAGGCACTTGGCCTGGGTGTTGACACGAAGCCTCTTCAGACCACAGATAGCGAGGTAGTCGGTGGGCAGAGTGTTGGTGCCGCACAGAGAAAGCTTCAGGTCCCGGACCAGCGTGAAGTTCAACAGGAGGCCCAGGGCCGATGCATCTGTGAACCAGATGGTCAGATGGTCACTGTAGCTGGTTTGCTCGAGGGCTAAAGGCAGGACGGTTCTACAGCTGCACATCAAGTTGGCCAGACTGTAGTCACAGTCCTGGACATCTGCAGGGCAGCTGCAGTTCCGGATGGTATTTTCCTTGGTGAAAATCAGCGTGCTGTTCTTCTGCCCTCCCGTGAAGCAGTGGAGAACAAAGATGCCCAGCGCGCTGGCCAGAAGGACCCTGTGCCCAGGAGGTGGTGCCATTCTGATCTCAGCGTGCGTCACCAAGCCTGTGTTTCCCCTTCGTGAGCCAGTTCACTGGAACTCACCTGAAAGGAAAATATGCAGCTTGGTTATCACAGGCTCTCTTTAAAAATATACAGCTTACAGGGAGCCTGGCCAGCTCAGTCGGTAGAGCCCGGGACACTTGATCTCGGGCTCCTGAGTTTGAGCCCCATGTTGGGTGCTGAGATGACTTAAGGGATATGCAGCTGATAGAAAAGGAGCCCCCGAGATAACCCATGGTAACCTCTTCTCTCTCGTAGTTCTATCAAAGGCAGGCAATGCATGGAGCCCAAGTGCAGACACTATCTTTTCTCAGAGCCTCGTGAGAGACAGCAGTCTGTTCATCTGAGACATAAGACTCCCTGTGATGTCTGTTGACAGACTAACACACCAACAGCGAGCAAGACAGTGTGCCCGAGATGAGACCCCGGCGCACCCTGCTGTCCGTGGGCAGGGATCTGTGGTGCTTTGACTGTGCACATTCTCCAAACATCGTCTTTCTTGGACTGAGTACCTGGTGGCCCCTGGAAGATGCACATTCCCTCCTCCCCCTCAATATCGGACTTCCTGGAATTCAGGAGACAAACACGTCCGTGTTGGATTCAGCTCCCCAAGTGCTACCTGTTAAACAACATAGCATGAATACCAGTGAAACATTTAGTTAATGATAAACTTTAATTTCTAACTAGACAAACATGCCCCACCTCATATTAATCTGTTTATAGATCCATTGATACATTCCTGCTCTCCTACAAATGTAAGTTTTAGAGTAGATTTTAACTGTGTTCATAGACAGTGAAAACGCTAATCACACACCAATTAATCACAACGAACTTGCTTATCTGCTCCTTCCCCGGAACAAATGTTATAAACAGATTTTATCAAATAGCTTAGTGTAGGGCTCCAAAATGAAGCAATATATCAGCAGTGATCAATGATCTAAATAAGGTAGGAGCATATGCACGGTTTAAGGAGCAATGCCAATGTCCGATCTGGAGGAAAATGCCCTAGTACCCTGCGTATAGTAGATGCATGGTCTTCTTTTATGGTGAGCTTGGAATGAGACACACGTTATGAAGTAGGGTGCCAGGTTTTCAGTCTTGCAAAAATAATTTCCCCTGAGTTAGCTGACAGCTGACCAAAAGATGCCGAACCAAAGATACCATTCGGTTCTTCTGAACTGACCAACGAGACAATTCCGTTCGTTTGCATGTACAAAGCACCATGGGCATGGCAAAATACTTGGAATGAGATCTCTGACTTGGAGAGTCCACGGCTAGTGACAGGACCCCCACAGGAAGTGCTGAGCAGGGATACACGGGTCAGTCTGAAAGGCTGAATATGTGACAGCAGGAAAGAAGCAAGGCAGACATGCACCACTTAGGGTGCAAGTTGAGGCCACAAGGTGGCAAAGCAAGGCAAAGGGAAGTTCAAGAGGGCAAAGCTGGAAATGCTGGGGTCAGGTGGAAGACGGAGAGCACAAGTTCATCAGCTGGTGGCTGGAGTGCAGGGAGACTCACCTGAAGCTCAACCAATAAACCTGAACAGAAGGTAAGACATTAGTTCACAGCCATCACACTTCATTCATTCAGCAAATGTTTACTGGGCATTCACGGGGTGGCAGGCACTTTGCTAGCCCTGGGGACATAGCCCAGAAGACAACAAGCTTCTAGAACTTGTGTTCAAAAGGACTTGATTCTGCTTCCAGGCATACCTATGAGGACCAGGCATACCTATAAGGACATGCCGTAGCAGTGGGGAGGGAGAGAAAGCAAAGGCAGGACTCAGGTAGGGTTCAGCACGGGCCATGTGCCAAGGTCAAGCAGAAGAAATAAAGATGAACAAGACGTACCCTTGCCCTCCAAGAGCTTATAAGCAGAAGAGGAGGACAAATGAGGCTGAACTGAGAAAGACCCTATTGAACATACCAGTGGTTATAGGAACATAGCAGAGAGATAGGTTAAAGTCCATTTGGGGATCTGAATAAGGTGCTTTATAGTGTTTTGTGTTTATTTTGAAGTTGGCACAGGCTTTTCTGAAAGAGTGTATTCATTGGTTCATTTTGTAATAAAAGAAAGGTCTTTGAGAAATGCCTAGAGCCAGAATTCTTCCTGAACACAAGATTTAACAGTTTTAAATAGTTTTAAAATGTGGTGGTGACTACCCCACTTAGTAAGGAGCAGTAACTTATTAATTACAAGATAATTTTAGATGATCAGTTGTCCTAGATTCCACTGGCGGTTTCTAGGTCTTCATGCCCCAGTAACCCTTTCATCCCAGAACTAGGAAAGCTGTCATCAATGCCAATGGCTTTCTCTGATCCCAGCCTGGAGGGGAAAAGGGAGGTGGAAAAGGTTCTACCCATCAGCCTGGAACCTGGTGAGAAAAGTGCCTACTTCATTATTCCAGATGCTGGTACCATTCAGAGACATGCATGGAAGAAGAAAAGAGGTAGGAAGGGAAACGGATGATGATTTCCTGAAATGAGTGGGGCTAGAGATCATTAAAGGGATTTGTGAGCAACCCCCTGTCCCCTGCATCCCTGGCTGGACCTCAGGGTGACCCCCTCCCTGCTTTTGGATATCAGGGAACTTGAAAGCTGAAACAAGAAGGCCTCCCAATAGGGTACAGAGTGGGACAAATATCCCTGGTAATAAGCTTATGGGGTTTCCAAAAAGATGCTGTTGGACATTTTTCTCCTTCGGTTTTATCCTGGGTAAAAAACCACTTGGTTTTTTAGATTTGTTGAATGTGGATTGTGAACACCCGAGTTTCACTGTGTGTTTATTCATTTGTGGGCAAATTCCAGCCTGGAATTAGGAGAATGGGCACAGATACATCACACTGTCCTTGCCCTTAGCTATGCCCTTGACCGTCATGGGGAAAGAAACTATTTTTCCTCTGGGATTTGCTCATCTTGTTAGAAGGGAAATCAGGATCTACTGGTGACCATCTTGTCTCCAGAAGGGGTGAGCTTGCCTGACAATGAAGCCAACACAGAGAAGAACAGGTACGAAATGGAGAGATATTCCTAAAAACCTTTTCGAGCACTGAAATCAAGCTATGCCTGACATCCTTCCTTGATTTTTGAAATATGTGAACCAGGTTTTTTTTTTTTTCCTATTCAAACCAGTCTGAACTGGATTTCTATAACAAGCAATGAAAAGAATACACTGACATTTGGTAAGCTATCTTTTTTTATTCATTCAATAAACCTTTGTTGAGTCCTCACTGTGTGCTAGCCACTGTGCAGGAAACCTAGAAGAAAGCCAATGAGATCTCCCTCAAGGGGTTATTGCCCAGTGAAAGAGACACTTGAATCGATAATCACAGTACGATGTGATAATCACTATAATAACATTTTGTATAGGGTGTTATGTCTACACCTAACTTTGCCTGGAAATGAAAGATACCATAATAAGCTTCATGGAAGAGGTAGTATCTGAGGAAGGCAGTAGTTCTCGAGTAAAAAAAAAAAAGAAAAAAGTTATCTATGTAATTAGCATAGGGTGATCAGAATTTGGAAAAACCAAAAGTAGGACCGAGAGATTGATGGGCTATGGGGATAGTCATGGGAGAGGGGAGCTGAGGGGTCCTGTAGGGTGGAAAATTCTGACTTGCCCTGACACATTTTCTCAGCATCCCAGCTTTTTGTGTGCTCTATCATTAGGATTTGCCTCCCATGTCCCAAGGTGATCCCCTTCCCCACCCCCATGATGGGCAGGAGCCTAGCAATGTGACGGGTCTATGCTGTTCTGCTGATGTTGTGCTGGAATTTGCCCACAAATGGAAAACTACATAGTAAAGCTAGGGCAAAGGTTGATTCCTCCCTTATGTTGCAGCATAATGCCATTAAGGAGCCATGGGGGTGGGGAGGGTGTGCTCTGCTCCACGTGGTCATGCGGGGACTCAAGCTTTCCTCCCTAGCTCTATCCTCTCCCAGGCCTTTGGATCCTCTGCAGGATTTTCCATTCACACTTCATCGGCCAGAACTCAGGCATGTGGCACCCCTCTCTGCAAGCAGCTTGGAAATGAAATCCAGCACCGTGCCAAAGGAGGAGGGGACAGCCTGCATATTGGTGGGCACTAGAGATTTCTGACATGCCTAAGTTGTAAGACATCATAAATGGCTTTATGCAACCATGATCAACAGGAAGTGTCAATCCACCCAAATTTCTCTGGCAAGATATGGAAAACGATGTATGATCATTAAATCTCTGAGCCTTTAAATCACTGAACATGTTGATAAACCAGGGCAATGATTCAGAATCAGTTCTAATATTCATTTTGTATCACCACAGAAGAAATCTCAACGGCAATTAATACCAGCAATTAGCTACACGAAAGCAAAGATTTCTGAATTGAGCAGATATAGACATCAGTAACTTCAAAACAAATTCCCCACAGATTCTTTCTCAATCTAGGATTACACCCAGTGTTTAGATAATGTTTATACTTGGCTCCAAAAGGAATGTTTCAAAATGTATTAGTTCTGTTTATAAGAAGATATTACTAGTAAGGAGATAGTGTGTCTGTCGGTGGGAGGATACCATTTGGACCATTTGCTCAAAACAGATTTGAAATGTCTTGAATAATGATGTTTTGAACTCTGTAGTCTCAACATAAAAGAGAAAAAATATTATTGTGGAACATCATAGTGGTATTCCCCAATTTTAACAGCAATTAAAAACTAAGAGTGATTTCAGATTTTTAATTCAGAAATGGGTTAAATTGAAATTAGAAGGGATCTTTTAATTTCAAAGGTGGAAAGGCACTTAGAGAAAAGACTCATTTGAAGAAGCTGGGGAAATAAGACCAGACACAAAGGAGGTGCTCCAGCAAGAAACAGATGGTCCGAAAGAGAAATCTTAATTGCATACAGAGGAAGAAAGACAGAAGACAGCCAGGGTCCAGGCACCCCAAGAAATCCACTTTGAAGCCAGAACCTGGAGAGCTAGGCTAGGCTCTCTCACAAATGAAGTTCTCAAAGTGTGTTTCTGCAAAACTCCTTGAAGATTCCAAGGGGGCGAAAATGAGAGAAATT